AGGGTAGGGGTTAATCTTTTTCTCATCTTTGCAAATCTGACGAGCGGAATGACCTCATTTTTTTGTTTCATTTCTTTCATCGATGAAGTCAACTTACTTTAGACAGGATCTCCAATAAATCACTCAGCAGAATCAGCGCCACAAGACGACAAGGCAGATGCCTTACAGTTCTGGTTTATTCATCCTGACAGTTTGGAGGGGCCCCACTGTACTGCACAGGGAACATGGTGGCCAGACCTAAGACCAAAGCCCAGCTCTGCCACTTACTAGACGTGTGAACCTGAGCAAGTTACCTAACTTCTGAGCCTGGTTCTGCTATTAGCCCCAGCCAAAAGATGGGGCTAATAACACCAACTTCTTAGTGCCCCAAATTAGAAATGATGTATAACTCCACGGCATATAGTAAATGCTTCATAAATGGTAGCTATTCAATGACAACTTCAACTACAATGACTTACAGAGGTGAAACCTGCAAGACCCCAAAGGAACACTGCATTTCCTTCTTTCTTTTGCCAAACAAGGCTGACTAGTCTTCCGCCAGCCTCCCAAAAGGAGTCTCATATAGAAACTGAAAGTTCATTCTTGGCATCTATTTAGAAATAGTCCATTCAGATGACAGGGGCGAAATGGATATAATGAAAGGCAAACAAATTATTTGAGAACACAAACAGTCCTCATTCTTAAAAGATTAAATGCAATATTCTGAGTTTAGTCAACAAGATTGATAAGAATTCTTATCAGCAGGCAAAGAAATGGTTCTATAAAGTATACTGACACTTGAACTTTAAAACAGTGAAGAAAAAAGGAACCACCCAACCTCATTTTGGGTTTTTTTTTAGGTTTTATAATTTAAACACCTGATATGAGACTTGTGCACCAAAATCCAGCTGTTGTGTAAACTGTAACCAATGAAACCGCAGTTCAGATTCCTGCTCTCAGAAGCATCCCCCACGGGCATTCTTTTCTGTTACATGGGAGACGTATTCAAATGCCCCCATGTGACAGGCAGGAATCCCATTATTTTTCCTACCAGCACCTCTGAGATGCCCCTGTCCTTCGTCCCTAGTCTCTAATACCTATGTGGACACTTATCTCACAATCTGATTACTGCAGCCTTCCAGGCTGGGCCACCCAGCGTACCTCCTTGCAAGCCACTCTACACACAGAACACATTCGTGATCGGCTAAAAATCCCCAGAAGCTTCTTAAGGCCATGATCAAACTCCAAACTCTTGAGTTTTTCCTACATGGCTCCAATTCTACCTTATTTTCCATTGTGTCACAGTCTATAACCTTGCTGTAGCATTGCTATCTCAAATACAACAAGCACACTCCCCTGCCTCCCTTCTCACCTAGCCCCGTCCTACTCAGCGCACGAGGTCCAATTCAGGTCACACTCCTTTCTTCCAGCTTCCTCTGACTTCAGCTCTTATCGCTCTCTCCCCTTCCTGAATTATTCTGGCAGTGACAGTGTGCAACGCAACTTTGGCATTCCACTACCTACCAGTTCACTATTAAGTACCAATAACTTGTGACCTTGGAGAGATCATTTAACCTCTGTGGGCCACCATTTCTTCATGTGTAAAATAATAAAAGTCTAAATTAAGAGATTTTAAAAGGTCTTTTCCTGTTCTAAAAACCCTCTCATTTGACACACTGCCATGCGCTGTTTCAGACATTAATCTCACTTCTCTTATTTGACTGTAGAGTTTCCTAACGGGTGAAAGTACATCTTCTAGTTCTTCCCCAGCTCTCAAAGCAACTTATTCCAGGATGTGGCTCAAGGAGATGCTCAGTAAATGACAGTGGATAGGGTTATCAGCACTGAGACAGAAGACTTCAAAGATCCAAGTGTGAACCCAAGACTTAGTTCTAAAGCAGCTTGGGAACGGGCAGTAGTAGTCAGTGGTAGACGGGGCGGAAGCCACCTAGTGCTCCACTGTTGGCTCTTTCCTACAGCCGAGGGCCTGCCCTGATGGAAAATAAGACGTCAGCCCGAGAATGGAATGAGCACAGGTTCGAGAGCTCAAAATCGTTTCTTAATTCCTATGCGGCGCTGCTGGAAGCACATGCATGAAGCCCCTAGACGGCAGATGCAACTTCTAGGTGAGTTCAGATACGAGTGCTCCAGGGCAGAGTATTCAGGGGCCTTGTTGAATGGAGCACCCTGGGACTATCTAAAGCCTGCCCTCCAAAAGTGGGAGAAAGTCATGCTCAGTTCGGCCATGCGAGGCCTGAAACCTGCAGCAGAAAAGCAATCCCTTCCATTTCTAGGCCCCAGTGCCCTCCCCTCCCCTCCCCAAGAAAAACACAAGCTTTTACAAGAGGAAAAGTAACAAAGGCAGATATATTGAAGCATTCAGTTCTATTTTAGGCTTCCAGTAAAACGTTTTTATTTTTCTCTTTTCTCAGGGCAGTACAAGTCAATATGTAAAAAGTAAGGAAGTGGTCTGCTCGAAGACAGGAGTCAGCATCAAGCAGAAGTTAACTGGGAACTCCAAGACGGTGAGAGGACCCAATCCCTCCGGACTCCGGGCAGAGGGCTAAGCCCCCTTCTTTCATTATTTTCAAATAAAACGTATTTGACACCAACACGCAATGCCCCCTTTATGAAGAGACAATAAATATATCCCTATTTCAATCAAGTTAAACTGCTCGATGCTATTCCAGCCACTTCTAAACATGCTTTGGCTCACAACTAAGCTCCTAAACAGTTAGCAAATCAAATCAAAGCCACTCAAACAAAGCCTATTACTCCTTGAATAACCAAATGAAGAAAACACAGCTTTTTTATTTTTAACAGCTCTCAAGACAAAGCAATGTCCCTCATGTCCCTCCTCTTCACTCAGCTGTTTCACAGAATTACGAGACAAAGGGCAACTACTGTATCATCACTCTTTTTTTTTTTTTGGAGTAAAGCCACAAGATTACTAACAAACAGCTAATGGCTACCATTCAAAAGCAATAATGGCATTATGACTTCATATGCCAGTTATCTACCAAATTGGAAAGAACCAAATCTATGTTACTTTTCTCTCCCCAAAGAAAATCTCAAAGTAAATGGGAGCACTCTGATTCACTGCCTCTCTCCCACCATAAAAATGTCTGGGGCAGTGTTAAATAGTGTCATCTTCTCTAATCACGGGATGGGAGAAAAGGGTTTTACACTTGGTTCAAGAGGTTACTAATTTAAGTTGGAGAACTTATAAAATGTTCATGGTCTAGGTTTAGAAAAAGTTCAGTGATAGTAAACAGCAAAAACTGTTGTCTAAAAATTCTTTAAAATAGATCTCAAATCCCTAGTTTTACTTTGCTGCTTGAGAGCTAAATATGCAATGGGATAAACCTAGAGAAAAATGTGAATTACCAGGCTTCCAGGTTCAAGTTTGTAGGGTAAATTTAATGGAGAAATCAGTATTTGAAAAGAAAAAAAAGGCCCCTAAGGGTTTTTGTACAGGCTACAAATGTGGGTACTTGAGTAGCCAATCTTCCGATATCACTAGTGGGTTATCTGCCAAAAACAGTAATCATCTATGAATACATCAAATTACCTCCCTCCTCTGTACACCAACGATAGAGTAATTCAGTAGTCTAAGTTATGTTTGCTTTGATTTCTAGCTCTCCAAGAAAACAGAAACGGAAGACATATGTCACTCTAAAACGTATAGCTGATTCTGTTTTTGGGCAATTTAGTGCTGATTTTGAGAATACCCTCAAAAAGCTTGGCGTCACAAAAACAGCTCTGAATGGAACAGTTTCCTTCTCCTTAAAGGGCTCTTCAGTGTCACCTGCTACAAAGTCCATCATACAGGTCTACATTAAACCACTGTGCAGTAACTTCAGAATAGACCACGCCCCTGACGAGAGCAAAATAGTAACTCTCCATAGGTCTGCATAACTTAAAAAACGACGACAACAAAAAAGACAACTAGTCATTTTATAAAGGACTAGATTTCTACATTGCCATTTTCCTTCTCTTTGTAAAATTCTGATAATTTCATTCAGGGCTAGTACACAAATGGTGGCAAATTCCAGCAATCAAACTAAGGATCGGAGGGGAAAATGTCAAAATTTGAAACAGTGAATACGAAAACATTAAACTTCAGGTTTTCCTCATTTAGAGCTGACACACTATTCAATAACACTCACTTTTGTAAACAAATAAATAAATAACATATCCAAAAGGGCAGGCTGCTCCAGTCAACTGAGTAAACAACATAATTAACATGTGCCAGGTGGAAAGCAAATCCTCATGTTAATAGTGGGGCCCAAAATGAGCTGCAAACTCTAAAGCAGCTCAGTTCCAAACTGTCAGCAGGTTTCTTTTGTGCAATCAGAGTGTAATATGGGGTAATTGCTCCAAGTTTCTTCTAAGAAAATCGAAATCTGACTTGTACAACTGCAAGCTAAACCATATTATTTGGAACTCCATTCGTTTTTTCGCAAAGAGTAAAAATGCATTGAATTCTTTAATAAGTTTTGGCATATACTTCTAACCACCTCTCTAAACCAGGAGAAATTAATTTAACTGACTGACTAGGATCAAGTTCCAGAATGCAGAAATCTTTTGACTATGTAAAATAAGACTGAGTGCTTTTACATAAATACTTCGATACTTCGAGTTTAGGTCTTTCAAAAAATCCTCTGATTTTTAATAAAACTCTATGAGGTAAATCAATCTACTCTTTTACTCCCTTACTACAATCATATTGCTTTGACTTTATCTGAAATAGCACCAATATCGACAAGCAAACAGAAACACTCGAGGCATCCACACAAAGGCAGTTAAAGACCGTACACCGCACCGACCCTCTGAAGTCATATTTAATATTCCACTCGCCGTCTATCTCTGCCATCCAGATCACACACCACACGGTGGTCAACGTTAAAGTGGGCGATGAAGAAAGGAGGAGCACGGTTTCTTTGTGTGTCATCGGGGCAAAGAAGGTGGGTGAGCACAAGGAGAGGCCAGCTCGGCATTTGCCTGGCATCCACACTTACCTTGAGGATGTCCCCTCTTTTGAAGCTCAGCTCGTCGTCTGCAGTGGCTTTGAAGTCATACTTGGCGATGGCTTCCATTCTGAGCGCTGCTCAGTGCTCGGCAGCCTGAAGCAGGGGGAAGGGAGTCTTCCCTGCTGAAGCAGCCCAGCGCTCTGGGCTCAGCCTCGCCTCTCTTCTGGGACTCGCTCCTGCACTCCGGGACACACAATGCCACCCTGAATCAGAAGACGATGATTGAGAGAAGTGGCCAGGATCGAAGGCAGCCCCGCCCTGCCAATCGGCCTGCTGTCCCAGCCCCCACGCCCCCTGGCTCGGCTGGCTCAACCCTCCTCCCTCCCTCCTAGGCAGGAGCCCTGATCTCGTTCTTCCTCTCTTCAGCCTCAGGCCCAGACGACTGACAGGCCTGCTGGCCAATGGTGGCAGCTGTTCGAGCGATTCCAGAATACACTTCCTCTTCCTTCCCGCTGGGCGTGCACGGTGTGCAGGAACCGGCAGGAGCCCCGTTGAGTCTCTGCCTTTCCTCCCTCACCCCTTACAGTCTCCTCCAGGCACGAAATGCAGTCCGCTGGGGAAGGGCCTCCCTCCGGGTTGACACCCTACTTTTCTCAGTTAAATAGGCTGATCTCTCTCTTTTCTCCGCCAACCTTTCTGCTTTTCTGAACATGCTGGGTCCCCTACCCACAGCCCAAAGCAGTCACCGCACGCTTTGGTCCTGAGATGCTTCTAACTCTTCTTGGAAACTAATCCTTGGTCTGCTCCAAGGAGAGCCTGAGAAAGTGAACAGAGGAACCACTTTTCCATTCGATTTACAACTCTCAGAGAAAGGTCCATCTGAGCCTTTTGCTGGTGGAGACCTGCTCTTACATTAGGCTCCCTCTCGCGTGAAGACCCCCCCCCCCAAGACTTTAGGGTCCCCAAGAGCCTTGAAATAGATGTCCAAGGCTTAGCATTCCAGAAGCAGCCTCCGTATTGTTTCTAACCAGCTTCAGGAGCAAAGTTGAAGTCCTAACCTACACTCGAAAGGAATCTCTTTTTCAGAATCTGAGCTGCCAGATATGATGTCTGGGGAAAGACAGTGCAGGGAGATGGTGCCAGAAAGTCAAACAGAGGTCTCTCTCAGTTACCCTGAGAGCAGCTGCTTTGCTCAGAGACGGAAGAGTACCAAACTGATCCAAATTGCATTTTGCAGGTACAGAGTCTATAATAACCCCCCGGTGGTGTACCGGGTGATGGGGAACTGTGGGCAGCACAATCGCTGCTATAGGAGAGTCTCCAGCCATAAATATGAGACACGACCTAGACCTCTGCATAACTAAAGGAAAATAAAGCTCCATTCTTGTTTCATCAGTCACTGTTTTCATTCAGGCTAAATAAAAGCAGAAAACAAGACCGACGCCAGCAGAATGGGGACAGATCATTTACAGTGACAACCTTCTGGGATAATTACTACCTAGCAGAGAACTCATTTGAAGGGTACGAGTGACTATTATTCTGTTCTAAAGGTGACAGTAGGGGCGTTCATCGAGCATAGCCGCAAAGGGACTAAGCGGTAAGCCTGCCAGGAGCACTGAGATTAGAGGGGAATGAGCACTACCCAGGAGGGAAGGAATCTCCTGGTAATAAAAAGGCCTCCAATTCTGAAAGCCAAACCTTCTGCTGCAGGGAAACTAATAAACCAAACCAATATGCAGTCTGTCAGGCCAGACCTTGGATATCCTTATGTGGCGCTGGCCCAAAGAGAGGAAAGTAAAGCTTCTAGCAAATACAAAAAATGACAAAGATTAGTCTCGGAGTATTTGTGTGTATCCTTCAGCATCCTTAGTCTCCGTAGTTTTTTTTTTTTTTTAATCAAACTAATCCATATTACTTTTTAAATCACTGTTATTAAAAAGTTTATGAAAAAGCAGTTTCCTACACCAACACTCACAAGCAATCACCCTCAATTTTGTTAGCTTTCCCTTTGTATTCATTCACAATACTTCTAAATAATATACTTCTACTGCTGTATCTTAATTTATTCCAGCCCTCATCTATCGCCTGAAAGATGAGGACCTAGCTGTTCCGCCTCTGCCAACTGCCCCTTGCCTTATCTCAGAAATATCACATATTCTGGTTTAAGCAACAGTATTACAACACAGAATATTGTTCACTGGTGATTTAAATAATGTACTACAACCGACATTCCTTTCTATTTCTAGTACAATTCTTCATTTTTTTAGGCATTAATAACTGCTTTTCCTTTTCTGCTTACTTTCCAATGTGTGTACCTCTTTTCAATTTTTTATAAATGCTCCAAAATCTCTGCAACATGCCTACCAATATTTCCCACAGACCCAGCCATTTATTTTCATTGCTATCCAAGTTTGACTGTTGGGATTAGGTATCAACAATAGTAAGCTGAAGAATAACTGAGCAGATCTAATAAGACAAGGAGTTTCATTTTTGAAAAATGTAAATCAGAAATCCAGAGCACCGTCACTGTCAAGGTACTATGTAGTAAAAGGGCACATGCATCTATCTACGTCATTTAGGGTTTCAGACAACTGCAGTGTAACTGAACAGCCACAGCCTGACAACCAAGATGGTTTTCAACACCAGTTTTCTTGCGGCTACTTGCCTACCACAGGTTTCCTAGGGAAAGCTTAAACAGACCAACGCTCTTGAAAATCATGTTTCAAGTGACTGCTGCTTTGTGAGATATAATCCGATAGAAATGAAATATCAAGCACAATCAATACTTCGTGGGGAAAACTTGAAGTGGTCAGCTTACTTAGGCTCTCCACAGAAGAGAACACACAGGCCAAAGGAATTCAAAAGGGTGTGTTTCATTAATAGAAAAAAGATCTATCACATTCGCAACACTAATTACTAAAAGGAAGAAATGTGAAAGTGGACACAATGTACGATGATTTTAATAGAGGAGACGTTGCTGTTCATTTCTCAAGATAATGGGCTGGGAGTACACTCAACACTGCAGCCTAATGACAGTATGTCTCAACTGTTACTGGCACACACCTCCACCACCCATCCCAAGCATCAATTTTAAGGCCAGTGCAGCTTGTTCATTTCAAGTACTATGCATTGTATCCTAAAATGCAGCCTCCTAAAGGTATCTGTAGGATTTTGTTTTCCTTCTTCTATTTAATTTTCTTCTTTCCAAAAGTCAAAGAAAATAAAATACACGACAGCTACTGGGCCAGAAGAGCTTACTGTTAAAGCCTGCATGGTCTCTAAAGGCAGCCTAAACCAGATTCAAGTAATGACCCAGACGCTGACCAGCTAGAATTCTGGGCAAGTCTTTTAAACAAGCCCTAATTTTCTCTTAAATGGGGACAATATCACCTACTTTATAAGAGTCACTGAGCATTAAATTAGGTAATATAGATAATATACATGAAGTGCTTTGGACAGAACCTGACAGTAAGTCACAAAAAATAAGTTAAAATGTGACTCTACTTAAAACATATAAGATGGTCAACTTCACTATTAAAACTGCAAATTAAAACGAGGTTTCTTTCACTCACTAACTGGCAAACTTTTTAAAGATTTACAATATCCAGGCTCCGTAATACTCTGGGTAAACACTGACTCTTTACTCTATGCAATGTTCATTCATTTAACATTCTGAGCATCTACTATGACTGACAATGTGCTTGGTACTGGATTATAATAATAAAACCATCAAAGCCCACTCTCTAGCAGGGAATTAATTCAATATTTTTGGAGAAAATTTTGTAGTATCTGTTGACAACTTAAAAATACATATCCCTTGAATAAGCAATTCTACTTCCCAGATTTATCTCACTGATAGAGACACAAATACCATATGCAAAATACATATATACCTGGATCAACATCCATGAGCATACCTATGGAATATTTTTCTATAAGTACCAAGATATATTAAGTTTTAAAAAAACTGCAGAAAAATTATAGTTTATCACGTTTCTGTAGGACAAAATAATACATATCAGTGTGTGGCTAAAGAAAAAATCTAAAAGGTTAACAATGGTCATCTCTGGCAGCAGGATCACAGAATATTTTAACTTTCTGCACTATATACCTCAATTGTATTTTCAGTGTTTTTACTTGAAGCATGAATTACTTTTGTAGTTCAATGCTTTGGAGTTAGATCTGGATTCACTTGTCACTTCACCACTTACTGTATGGGTGACCATTGCATAGAGTAAAGAGTCAGTGTTTACCCAGAGTATTACGGAGCCTGGATATTGTAAATCTTTAAAAAGTTTGCCAGTTAGTAAGTTGTATTCTCTAATCCCCAGAATCCCTCAGCTGGTAAATGGGGATAAAAGTCATTCTGGTTATTAAAAGAGACAGCACCTGTGAAAGCCTTAGCAGAGACTCTGACATAAAGTGCTAAGTGCTGTTAACTAGCATCACCAGTCCCTTTTCAAGTATCAGTCCATATCTTTTCACAGAGTACCTGGAACTTCCATCCAAATACAGACTTTCTGGTAGGCAAACTGACAGTCCTGGTAATTATAACCTTTAAAATTAAATTGCTTCATCTCACGGTCCTAACAATGCTCAAATATTACACATACAAAAACTAATCACATCAATACTCATTTATTCTATTAGGCTTTTAAATATTTACTCTGTATATACAGAAAGTGTAATTTTAAGTTGCGTAATTTAAAGCCACACTCCAGTCTCATGACTTTATGGCTGTATTCTGTAACGACAGTTTTGGTCCTTGGTCCAGCTGCATCAAAACCACCCCATTCAGAGACTGATTCACCATGGGGTGCCTTGTGGAGCTCTGCAATGCAGTAGCTGTAGGCCCAGAACCTAATTTTAAATAAGATTCACAAATAATTCTTATGCGTTCGTTCTACATTTTAAGAATCACAACTGTACTATACTGGTGCCTTAATTAGATCTTAAACTTTGCATTCCAGATAATGCACGACGTTTTTGCATAAAATGAGAATGCATATTCACTTGGCACAACTGGGAAAAACCCAACTTTGACAAAGAAAACCAAAGACTCTCAATGGTCATTCAGTAGTGCCAGAAAGTTCTGAATTAAGCAAGTAACTATTAATTTCTCTCAAGAAAGCATGGTAGCATGGTGGGTCTCTATTTGTATTACTTTATTTCTCCAGAATTTATTACTCTTCTGCTCTAGGTAACAATTAGAACTGTTGCTGTATAACACGAAACATAACAGGAATTACTGAGAAAGATCTTTAAGTATCATCAACCAGTAGTATTTAAAACCTAATAATCCCTCAAATCTGACTACACTTGCTGAGGAAGTGAACTGCCTCA